TTTACCTGCTTTGCTCGGCAACTACTTACAGTGATTTTTAATAGCCTAGCTTTCTTCGATAAATGGTCTATCCACCATAACAAATATTTTTCCAAATCGGACCAGTACCTAGAGTTTGAGATTAACGCGTTCAAACAAACTGACAAACAAACAAACTCTTCGGCTTTATATAATAATAATAGTATAAAAGATTATGCTCGCATTACCGGGACAACGTAAATGTGGCCCGGAGGTTAAGAAGCCCGCTTCTCATGCATGAGGGTGCGGGTTTGAAACCTACCAACGGCAAGTACCAATGTGACTTTTTCCGAGTTATGTAGTATGTTAAGTAGGTACCTACTTTCTAAGATTACTTAGACACCACTAACAAACACTGAAGGAAACATTGTAAGGAAAGAGAAAGAGCGTAGTGAATAATGCTCAAACCTTCTCCGTGCGAGAACAGGCTTTGCTTAGCAGTGGGCACTTATAGGCTGATGATAAGATTATGCTCGCATTACCGGGATAAAAAGTAGCCTATATATGTGATTCCACAATAACGTCTAGACGCATCCTATTTATATCGTTTCGCATAAGTACAGTATATCTTAAACAGATCCAGATCGCTTCAACCCGAAATGAAATTGACAAATTTAAACCCACGCATGAAATCGAAGCAGAATACTTTCGTTTACGCCGAAATGAAACTTATAGTTGCCACTTCATCTACGAGGTAACCTAAGCAAAAAAACCAGTTGTTTTTTCTTATTTGAAGTTTATTCAGGTTCATTGTCTCAGTAATTGGTGTGAAGAATCAACAATGCAGTCGTATTTATTTATTACTAGCTCTTAGCTTCAGTTTCTCTCACATAATGTGGTACTAATAGTCTGTTATACCTCTATACTAGGTGTATGTTGTTAGATAACCTTTAACTGGCTAATCTGGAAGGCTAGGAGAAGGCCTATGTTCAGCAGTGGATGTGTCGTGGATCATAATTATTATGATAAATTTATGACTGCCTCGTTGGCCGAGTGGTCGCAAGTGCCGGTCAAGGGGTCTCGGGTTCGATTCCCGGGTCGGTAAATATTACTGGGTTTAAAAAAAAATTCAGTTGTAGCACGGAGTCTGGAATTTTCACACTCCCTATTACATAGGAATCATAACATAAAATAGTAAGAAGTGGGTGTTGCATGGTACAGTGGCATTAAGTGCTGTAAAGTGCACCTCTGCCTACCTCTTCGGGGATAAAAGGCGTGAAGTTATGTTATTTATCCACGATTACGAAAAATTCACAACATTTGTACATACATTTGTAGATGAGGAGTTAGTGGAGAGTGATCACTGGTGACCGGCGGGACTCTGCAGGTCACTTCAGAGAGATGTTAGCATGTTAGATGAAAGAACCACTTTTCACCAAATATATAAAAAGTTCTTATGTGAGGTCATTATACATATACACAACTATAGGCTCCGTCCTATTACTCATATTTTTTTTATTCCAAAGTTTAATTAACACGTACAAACTAATTATACAACCTTGTCACAGAGTAACCTAGTCTGACCAAAAAATATAATATCAAGTCCTGTTCAAGAATCAAAACCAAGACCTTGACACCACTAAACAAATACTAAAACATAATTCACAGTCACATGTCAAAATTAAACATTTAAGACCACATGTTATTATAATTTACACTACCTACTTGTTTTTTTTTATTAGGCAGTGTTACCATGAAGGTGAAGGAAAACATCGTGAGGAAACCTGGGCTTTATAATTTCTAATTATAAGTTTGTAA